GGGCTGGAGGCAGTGGAGGTCCTGGGGAAGTTGCTGGCCCACATAGAGCAGAACTTGTCCAGGAGAGGCACTGCCTACCTTGCTGGGGTGAGTGGGACCACAAGGTGTGGGGACCCCTGCTCCCTGGGGGAGACTGCTGGGGAGGGGGTGGGCCCTTCTCCCTGGAGAGGTGAGCTCGCTGCTGCCTGCCCTGAGACAGAGCCCTGAACCTGGATTGGGCTGCCTCAAGGATTGACTCTGCTTCTCTCGCTCAGGACACCAAGTCAGTGGCTGATGTGGTTGTGTGGGGTACCTTGTTCCCTGTCCTCCAGGATGAGACCAGCCTGCCAAGTAAGGGTGAAATAGGGGCATTGAGGAGGAGCATTCCTTGTATTCCTATGGCTGTAAGAATCATGCTGCGCTCTCTCTCTCGCCCCCCAAGGTGAGCTGCAGGCGCTGAGGACCTGGTTCCAGAGCATGACGCTCTCGGAAGCCTGCAGGAAAGCTGCCGACTCCGTTCTCATGCCCAAGGCGCTGCTGGAGTTCAAGTCCTACCTGCAGAAGCAGCCTCCGCCCTGCCTGGCCATGGAGAGACCCACCAGTAACGAGCCTGAGGTGCAGCCCTGGCCCCCTGCTCATCCCTGGCCCAGGCATGGGCTCCTGTGGGGCTGGTGGCAACAGGCACGCAGTTCCTCATTGGGACCAGCCTTCCCTGCAGGAAGAAGAAGGCTCTGAGCATGCCCTGACAGAGGAGGAAATCACAGCTGCTGTGGATGCCTGGGCCCGTGGTGCTGCAGCACTGCCCAAGCCCTGGCAGCCTCAGAAACCTGTGTGAGTCCCAAGATGGCACTAGGGTTGGCTGTTCCAGACCTCCGAGGAGCCTAGCAGGGGTTCCCAGGCTGATGCCACGTTGTTCTGGGGTAGGGTGGCCCTGTTGCTCTTTGTGCCTGATCTGACTGCCCGTGTCTGTGCCAGGTTGCCCGTGGAGGGCATGAGGAATGTCCTGATCACCAGTGCTCTGCCATACGTCAACAATGTGCCCCACCTCGGCAACATCATTGGCTGCGTCCTCAGTGCCGACACCTTTGCCAGGTGAGACCTGGCTGCGGGAAAGCTCCCTGGGGCCGGGGTATCATCATGGGGGGCTGCACTGCCCTCAACACCTGCACGGGTGTTACAGGCCCCTGCCTGCAGGTACTGCCGCCTGCCGACCTGGAACAAGCTCTATGTGTGCGGCCCGGATGAGGCCCCTGCCTGCAGGTACTGCCGCCTGCGGAACTGGAACACGCTCTATGTGTGCGGCACGGATGAGTATGGCACAGCAACTGAGACCAAGGCGGTAGAAGAGGGCCTGACGCCCCAGGAGATCTGCAACAAGTACAACGCCATCCATGCTGATATCTACCGCTGGTTCAACATCTCCTTTGACTACTTCGGCCGCACTACCACACCGTATCAGACCACGTGAGCAGCTGCGTCCCCCAGGGTCTCACGTGGAGGGGCTGGTGCTGGGGGATGTTGGGGGGAACCCCAGCGTGCCTGGCTAAGGGTGCTCTATGGCTCTCTGGGGTTCCCTGGCTGATGGGGGCTGTGTGGCTGCCTCCCTCCTCTTCCTCTCCTTTCTCAGGATTGCTCAGGACATCTTCCAGCGGCTGCTGGCCCATGGTTTCCTGCTGCAAGACACTGTGGAGCAGCTACGATGTGAGGACTGCCAGCGATTCCTGGCTGACCGCTTTGTGGAGGGCACCTGCCCCTTCTGCAGCTATGAGGAGGCCCGGGGGGACCAATGTGATAAATGTGGCAAGCTCATCAATGCTGTGGAGCTGAAGGTGAGACAGGATCTCTCTAGGGACCACTTTACCCCACCTCACAACCCCCTCTGGCTCTGCCTGGGACTCCCAGCCTTGTCCTGGGCTCCCTTCAATCCATGTTTTTCTTCGTGACAGAATCCACAGTGCAAGCTCTGCAGGGGCGTCCCTGTGGTAAAACCCACCCAGCACCTCTTCCTGGACCTACCCAAGGTGAGCTTCATCCCTGGGGGAGTGGATGGGGCACCCTCTGGTACCACTGACCATCCCCATGTGTTCCCCCACAGCTAGAGGAGCAGCTGGAGGCCTGGCTGGAGCAGTCCTGGGCCACAGGGGACTGGACAGCCAATGCTCGCTACATCACTCGCTCCTGGATACGGGATGGGCTGAAACCCCGCTGCATCACCCGCGACCTGAAGTGGGGAACGCCAGTGCCCCTCGATGGTTTCCGTGACAAGGTGGGTCCCACCTGGCCCATCGATTGCAGCATCTGTCCCCAGGTGCCCTGCTTGGGGGACCCGGCTCATGTGTCATTCTCCACTCAGGTTTTTTATGTGTGGTTTGACGCTCCCATTGGCTATTTGTCCATTACGGCCAACTACACCGATCAGTGGGAGAGGTGGTGGAAGAACCCACAGCAAGTAGGAGCCTGGCACTGCTGCAGGGTGATGGTAGGGACAGAGCTGGACACCAGGGTCCACTGATGTCCCTCCCCCCACTTCCCCCTGCTACCTATCAGGTTGAGCTCTACAACTTCATGGCCAAGGACAACGTCCCGTTCCACAGCGTCATATTCCCCTGCTCGCTCCTGGGTGCTGATGACAACTACACCCTGGTGAACCACCTCATTGCTACAGGTACTAGAGGGTTGCCAGGTATTAAGGGGTCTCCACACTTCCCCGCTTTCCCTCAGTACTGGGAACAGTCCTGTCTGTCCTGAACAGGCACAAAACTATGCTTGCCCTCCTTGACTTGGAAGCCCCTTTGAGCTCAGCATGAGCCTATCAGCACTTTGATAGTGTCTCCCTGTGTTGTTCCCTGCCTGGGAGAGGGCTGGATCCCTGCTTGGGCCCCATGGTGGGGTCTTTCCTGCCTTTCCCAGAGTACTTGAACTATGAGGATGGGAAGTTTTCCAAGAGCCGGGGTGTAGGAGTGTTTGGGGACATGGCCAAGGACACAGGCATCCCTGCGGACATCTGGCGCTTCTATCTGCTGTACCTGCGGCCGGAAGGGCAGGACAGTGCCTTCTCCTGGAGCGACCTCATGCTCAAGAACAACTCAGAGCTGCTGAACAACCTGGGCAACTTCATCAACAGGTTCTGGGACACCCTGGTGGTGGCAGGGGCTATCTCTGTCCCTAGGCTGTGCTCATGCCTGCTCTGCCTCTGTCCCCAGAGCTGGTATGTTTGTGTGCAAGTTCTTTGGTGGCACTGTCCCCAACATGGCCCTGACACCAGATGACAAGCGGGTCTTGGCCCGTGTCACCCTGGAGCTGCGCCAGTACCACCAGCTGCTGGAGAAAGTCCGGTGGGTAGCTGAAATGCTGGGGCTGGTGCAGGGCTGACTTGTCACGAGGGTAGGAGGGCAGAGACCCGACCTACAGCAGGCACTGAGCCCCCTTCTACCCCCCACCAGCATCCGCGATGCCCTGAGATGTATCCTTAGCATTTCTCGCCATGGCAATCAGTACATCCAGGTTAATGAGCCCTGGAAGCGGATCAAGGGGGATGAAAAGGACAGGTAGGGAGAGATGAGGGGGATGGGTAGGGGGCAGGGCTGGGAGCCGGCATTGATGGAGGGTTTCCTGCCCCACAGGCAGCGTGCAGGCACAGTGACCGGTGTGGCAGTGAACATGGCTTCCATGCTGGCCATCATGTTACAGCCCTACATGCCCAGCGTCAGCTTGGCCATCCAGGGGCAGCTCTGCATCCCACCAGACTGCTTCGTCCTGAGCCACGACTTCACCTGCACCCTGCCCGCTGGGCATCATGTGGGCACTGTAGGTAGAGGGGAGGAAGGCAGGCTGTACCCCCTCCCTGGGCAGTGCTGGCCCTGCAGGCAGTGACCACCCCTCTTATTCCTGGCTGCAGGTGAGCCCCCTTTTCCAGAAGCTGGAGAATGATCAGGTTGAAGCCCTGCGCAAGCGCTTTGGGGGAGGGCAGGTGAGTGAGGGCTGTGGTGTCCCCCTGCGCCTCCTCCTCCTTCGGCACTTCCTAGCTTTTCCATCTCTGCTTTCTGTCTCTCCTCACTTGCTATCTCCTTTCCCAGCCTGAAGATTTTGCTATAGAGCCCCAGGTAACTCCCAGGCACTGCCTGGCACTGCAGCAACCCACCCTTCACTCCTCTCCTCCAGCATGAGCGGGGCTGAGACCAGGGCTCACACTGATGTCTGTCCTTCCACAGGCCAAACAGACTCCTCCACCCTCAGACCATCCTCCAGCCTCAGCAACCGTCATGGTTCCAGGTGACCCCCAGCTGATCCAGGAGCTGACAGAGGAAGTGGCCAAGCAGGTGAGTGGGGGCAGGGGGAAGGGGGCTGGCCCCATCTTGTCCTTATCCCCCAAGCCCTTATCACCACTCCTGCCTGCCCCAGGGCAACCATATTCGGCAGCTGAAGACCAACAAGGCAGAGAAGGCCCAGGTCAACATGGAAGTGGCCAAGCTGCTGGAACTGAAGAAGCAGCTGGCACTAGCAGAGGGCAAAAGCCCCGAGGTCCCTGTGCCCAAGGGGAAGCGGAAGAAGTAGCACCTGGCTCCTCTGTGCTGAGGAGCAGCCCCAGTGCTACCCAGAAACCAGACTGAGCTGTGCTGGCTGGTGGTTATGCGCATGTAATAAAATGCAAAAGCTATACAATCATGTACAGAAGCAGTGCCCTCCCCACAGGACCAGTCTGTGCCAGTGGCGCAGTGCACCTCCAGTTCACAGCTGCCCCCAGGTCCACAGGGGCAGCAGAGTCCTTGCCCCACTGGCTGTGGGGCAGCATTGGTGCCTAAGTCTGGCGAAGGTTCACAATGCGGTCGATAAGGGCTGCCCGTGTGCGCTCCACCTCCATGCCAAGCCGCTGGATCTCTTCCCGAAGCTGCTCATTGTGGGCTGTCAGCTCCAGCACTCGCTGCTCGTTGGCCCGCTCCTGGCGCTTGGCCAGCTCCCTGCTTGCCACCACACTGCTGCACCTCTTCCTCTTCACCCCACGCCCTGCAGCTGCCCCTACCTCATCCTCTTCTGTGCCCAGCCGGGGTGGGGAGCTCCTGCTGGAGGCTGAGCCTGGTGGTCCCAGTGCCTGTGCACCAGCTGTACTCTCTGGCCCTAGCAGCTCAGCAGCCAGGGCAACATCCAACTTGCAGCCCTCTGGACCAGCACCAGCCGTGCCCCACCATGGAAGCAGCTCTGCCTGCAGGGAGACAGGAGAAGCCAGCCCCAGGTGATGGGTGCCTGCTGCCCTGTTCCC